TTCTTTAGCATTTGCTAAAGTTTAGCATTTGCTAAGGGTGTGTGTCCCAAACCCATGCATTTTGAATAGTTTGATTTATGCTTCTACTCAGGGAATCTGATCGGTGGTATCCCAAGGCGGCTAGGTTTCAATCTGCCTTGGTTTCGTGATGGCAGGCTAGTGGAACGTCGGAAAAAGGAGGCAGCTGAAGAGGCTGGGTTTTGAAGGGAGTCGTTTTGGTATTTTGTGGTTCCACGATCAGGGCTTTGTCTTGGTCCCTGCCCCTGCGGTTAAGATGTTCTTTCCGATTCACTTTCGTGCCTGTGATCTTTTTGGCAGCGTGGGTGGACCAACAGCTTTGGAAGAGTGTCCCTGAGTATTGAGTGATGCCATACATCAATCTGCTGCCAGGAAGAACGCCTCCGGCAAGAGGAGGAGGACTTGCCGTCAGCAAGACTCTGACTGAATACTTGTTCAAGACCTAGAAGCACTCACACCATCTCAGACATAGACTTTGCTATCTTTAAATTTACCTATCTTCAACTGTAATATTATAGCATATATAGCATTATATATCTAAATTGTATTCTTTCGATGTGTCTCCTTACATCCATTGGTCGCGGCGTTTCTCAATTCTGGGCTTGAATCCCCAAATGAGCAGCGTCAAAAGAATCACGTCGTTCCAAGAATCATGGAGTCAAAGCCAAAAATAGGATGCCAAAGCTACTAGTGACAGGTGCATCGCTACTAGTGACAAGGACATTACTACTACTAGTAACAACAAGCTACTAGGAGCGATGCAATTTGCGTCCAAATAAGACGCTTGCTTTGTTGAAATCGTGTCGTGTCTCAGCGTGAGGAGCGCCAGGAGCGGAAAAGGAAACGTGCCTCGGGCTTTCAAGGGTGACCTGCAATCGGACTACGACCCTCTTTTTGGGACTCTGGTGGACCTCTATTGCTTTCTTAGCCTCAAAAGAGTGGGGTAGGCCGTGGGAGGTGAGTTAGCTAACAGCGTCTTAGTCTTGCATGCAGAAGTGCTCAGGCTTCAAGGAAGGAAGCTGAACCTTAATGATTTGGTTACTAGATTTTTTGGGGAATTTAGCGTTCTTCCTTTCATGTCTCATTTTTCTATTCCTATGGTTCTCCCATTTGCTGCCATTCCAACACGAGTGGCGGTAGTTGAGGCAATTGGACAGTTGTGACTGCCCATCTTGCAGTCTGGTTTACTAGAAACTAGTTGCGCTGGGTGCGTAATTGTCCGAAGTAGATCCATACCTGGGATACCTGGGTCAGTGGTTTGTAAATGTGGCAACAATGTTTGGGACAATCCGAGGAAAAGAGGAGAAGGATCGCGAACGTGCTGATCGCGAACGACATGACAAGGCCAGGCTCGAAGGATGAACCGTTCGCGCGAGGATGAATGCCATGGATGTGCCACGGAGAACGTAAGAAGGAAGTATAGTGGCCCTCAAATAGATAGCAAAGTAGATCCCCACTAAAGATGTATTCGAAACCGTTTCTATCTATTTGGGGATCACTATATGGGTCACACTAAATCGCTTTAAAGTCTATTCTACAGATTCATGATTCATGTGTAAAGATTAATGGTCCCTCAGCAGTGACTTAACAGTCCCAGGAACGAAGAAAGGAGGATCCCAGAAGAAGAGAAGCTGAAGAGGTGTGCCGTTGTACACGCAGGTAGTCTTTGGCCGCTTTTGTGTTTGTTGGGGCATGGGATTGTGTTGATGGTGGTAGTGGAACAGATCGAGAAAGACTTAAAGTACTGGCTTTGACGTCCCAAATTTAGTATGTGTTGCTGCAGAAACTAACAAATTTGAAGCGACAATTTCCAACATCACACACCTGTCAACAGTGAACCTTCCTATCGTGAGGACCGGGAGCGAAAGCAGCAGGCCAGCATGGATGCCTTCGAGCAGGCGACATGTGGCAAGACAGACACACGGTCCAGATGATGCACAAAAACTTGTGTAGTTCAACACCCTGTGCTCTCTATAGGTCCCAAAGCAGCTTGCAAAGGATGACAATTACCCAAATAATTTCCTGTATGCGTTGACCAATGTGTCCCACAATGACGACCTGACCACAGAAACGATCACCAGCTGGCAATGATGAATGATGATACACTCCAGCACTCATGACATCCTCTCTTCTTTACATCCGCGGAGCAACACCTCGCCATTTCTTTGGTGAAACCACGCAGTGGTGCAGTGAAACATGAGCTGTGTAGTTTGGT